CATAGTTTCTGAAAATTTTTGTCAGTTTCTTATTTGAGATATTGAGAAGTTGCTTGGTTGTGAAATATTTGGTATAAAAACTTACATTTAATTAACTTTGGTCATGGAGGATTTGTACTTGGATTTTTATTGTGAGGTTGGTCTCTCACTTTTGGTTATGGATCTTGTGGGGTTGGTCTCTCACATTTGATTCTGGATTATTATTATATACCTTGTGGGGTTGGTCTCTCACAATCGAGTTCGTTCTACCTATTGGGGTTGGTCTCTCAATGGGGGTATGCATACTTAAGGGATTGATCTCGAGCCAACTGGGTTGGTGTCTGGTTGGTTGGTTTTGGTCACTAGGGCCGAAGTAATGGCTCTTGCCTTGTATTTTTTCCTCCTCATTGACTTGGTGGTAAATAAATGATTAAATAAAGGATAATACATAATAGTAGACTAGTTTCAAATAGTTTTGGATCTCATAAAATAATATAGTTTTGGTTAAAATAATATCTATGTCAAAATAATACGTATAAAATAACTGGGTATTACAATCTACCCTCCTTAAAAGATGCTTCGTCCCTAAAGCATAACCATAGGAAAATACCGGGTATTACAACGCTTCTACCCATCGCACATAAGAGCAGCTATGTACGAAGAATTCCTCCACTTAAAACAAGGATTCGCAACGGTGGTGGAATACCACAAGAGATTCCTAGAACTGACACGTTTCGCTCACGTATTGGTCCCTACGGAAGCCACTAAGGTGGAGAAATTCGTGGCCGGACTCAACTTCGAGGCTAGGAAGGCCTTGACAGTCAACAAACCAAGAACCCTCAACGAAGCGTACACTAGTGCCGTGTAATACCCCACTTTTCTTAAACTTAATTAAAGTTCTAAAACCAAAATATGACAAACTAAGCAGCAGAAAAGCAAACTTAATTAACAAACTTAGTAGGAATGTCACCGCCACAACCACCTTCCCACGGCGATTGCACAGGCTAAGGGTAAAACTAAACATCAAGTCAAACTAACATCCGAAATTTACTACATTATAGTAACAAGGGGAAATAAGTACCCCGGTGTCTATCACCAAACAAAATAACAAGTGTCTACATCCAAATCTCAAAAACATCAATAATAGATCAAGAGTTTAGACTACATAACAACTAACTACACTAGTCTAACTCGAGCACTCTCAAGAGCTGGGCCCACCTGAAAGGGGTTTTGCAAATAGACAAATAGAAAACACCCGTTAGCACGAAGCTAAGTATAACTCCACTCAACCTTGTAAAATACTACAGTATATACTTTGGAAAAACATTTGTTCACATTCCCAAATTAAGCAATCTCAATCACTTAAACAAAACCTTAATATACACCACAAAGCTTTCTTTATACTCACAACCTAAAATATCAAATAGGCATACTTCAACGATATCAAACCTAACAACATGCTCATACTATCGCATACTTAACATAGCAAATCTCAATCATGTATAACATTTCAATAACAAACTCATGCTAACACATAAACTTATCAAGTAATTTCGTGCTATCAATTAATAAGAAATTATTCTCATGCTTTCAAATTTTCATCATGCAAACTAGAAATATCATACATCAATATGCAACTAAGGCAATCATACTCAAAATACAATCTCGGGTAGTCATTCTCAATATGGAATCTAATGCAACCATTCTCGATATGCAATCTCGTGCAAACATTCTCATTATGCAATCTCATGCAATACTATACTCAAATGCAATAAGATGCTATAGGATAAGTATACTTATACACTCATTTGTAAATAAAATACTTTTCTGTGGAGGTTTCTTAAAACCACAAGGACTCGCTTGCTCTTTCTTTCTTAGAGTCGCAACGACTCACTTTCTTTCTCTTGAGTCTCTTGACTCGATTTCTTTCTTGCTCAAACTTTCTCATACTTCTCATTTCTCTTCTTGTGCGATGCAGGTACTCTGCCGCAGTGAAACCCTAGCGTACGGTGTAATCTCGTGCATCCGTCACATCCGTAGCTACGGAACCTCTAACTTGTGGGGAGGTAGGTCTTCACGAATCGTGAATGGACCTAACCAGCTCGACAATCTAGCCGGCCACATACTCAGCTCGCCCACAGAACCACTCCCTTGGTTCTTTATCTTTCTTTCTTGCTTGCTTTCTCTGTGGAATCAGGTATATATCGTACTTTTAGTGTGCACACCCCCTAACCAGGATTCCAAGCCTGGCGGGTAGTCTCCAACCTCGTAACGTGGGAATACACCGCGTTACATGATAAATCTGTCGTATCACAATGTCCGTTACTTTCTCTTTTACTCCGAAAGGACATAGTCCCAACGGGTCCTCCAAAACCTCACTTATATAGAAAGCGTATATATCTCATGCGGCTCCTCTAGTTATGCAAACGTATACACGTAAACCTCTCAACAAATTCTCCATGCAACAAGGTAATGACTTCCACATGCTCATGAGTTTTGGAAAATAATACTTAGGCTCACGTTGGCCACTTATGCATTTTTAAAACATGATATGCTTGGAATGCAATTTACTGTGCAACATACTTCAATTCTATATTACTGTGAACTCTCAAAAGGCACATAATCATGCTTGAAATTCATAATCTGACAAATACCTTCATCAAACACTTAGCAATCATTCATCATGCGTTTGGAACTCAACTACATCAACTTAGACTTATTCTCTGGATGATAACATTCAAGACTAACATGCTCTGTACACTACCAGGACTATGTGGTCTAATGGTATCCGGGTTGGACTTCCATTTGGAATGTTGTAAGTTCGAGCCTCAGTGGAGGCGTTATTAGCTCTTTGTGTTTCAGTAGGTTGAGAAAGTATATGAACAGATACTACAATGTAATAGAGCTAGTACCATTCAACAAAAACATGCTCTGTACACTTCATTACTTGAAATTTGACAAATAATCTCTATGAATCATAACATACTCCTTAGGTATGCTTTTCTAACAAAACCTAAACACTTAGTGATCATGCTTCTCAATTTAACAATCAAATACTATCATGCAACTCACATAGGCAATATCAAGTCTGATGCTTCTAAAATTCATACACTGGAATATTACTGTAACACAATTGCTTCACAAAATCTATCATATAATGCTCATTTAAAATCCAAATTCAACGAAATCAAAGTACAAGCGTGCGCCATGACGGCCCCAAGGTACCGAGCCACAAGGGCCCGCGACACCCGGTTTGAAACGATACGTAGCTGAGCCACAAGGGCCCGGCCACTGCACAGACAAAACCAAACGGAGCTTGCGGCGGGGCTAGAGGAGCCCCGCAGCCTGGGACCGCCCGGCGGCGGCCTAGGGCCGTCCGTCACGGCTCTAGCTAGCGGCTCCCCTCGTGGGCCGTTGGCTAGGCCCGTGACTTCTATCTGGTGCACACTGTGTTGTGCACCAGATGCTTCTTCTTCACCTGTAAAGCATTTTCAGCGACTTTTCCACTTCCAAAACATCACCAACACATAATACAACATCAATAAGTCATCTAATAACTCAAACACACAATATTCTAGCATTTCTACTCATTTCTAACTATATAGCAATGACTACACAGAGTCAAAAGAGATTTGGGAATCCATGGGGTTATACCTCAGCTTCTTCTTCCTCTTCTTTGTGTGGTTCCCTTTCCTTCCTCAGATGACACTTCCTAGACTCTTCATGCAACCATACAAACCAAGCCTAGAGATAGAAATTCAGAGATTTAAGCAAAGGAAGATGAAACCTTAAGGGAAAGATGAATGAAATAAACAGCTGAGGAAGGTGGAATACTTACTGTAATGGTTTCTTTCTCTTGTTTACAGAGCTTCTGGGAATGGAGAGGCAAGGGGAATGATCAGGAAAACATAAGGCATTATTGATGTTTATATAGGGTCCAAAACCCTAGGATAAATGCCAATGATTGGTTGATGGCAAAGTAGTAAATAGGACTTGGCAGGAAGAAAGAAATCAGACTAGTTTTGGATGGTTTGTGGTCCATCATGCTTCATGGACCATGGGCTAGAAATGCTATTTAAAATAGTTTGGGGTTAAAAGATAATTTTCCCAAAAATGTTTTCAAGTCAAACACTTGACTTACGCTTCTCCGTTATCTCCCGGTTTCACTCATATAGTTTTCTCAGTATAAAACTTGGTATGCGAAATACCCGAAAATTTAGGATTTTGGAATTAAAACTCTCGGTGTTGGATTTTATTTAAAAATTCACTCAAAATAATTTATTCAAACACCGTTCTTTTTGCAAAAAATTTTAGGGAGTAAAAATCGCTATCTTGGAATTTCTTAAAATCGGATTTATAAAATTAAATTTTGGGTTGTCACATGCCGCCAATCTCTATCGGATCCAGCCACTGCAATGAGGAGAGCTGGTGAAAAGAAGGAACGATGGGGGCGGAGGACCAAACGTAAAGAAACCAAGGACCGACTCTAACGCAGGGACAGCTCCCAACAAACCCAAGGGCCCCGTAATGGGAACCCGGGACCGAGTGGGGACAAGCCCCTTGCAGGAGATGGTAAAGAACACTGAGGCAGAGATTACCAAGGAAGCGCGTTGCGTTGCTTTAACTATGGGGAAGAGGGCCATAAAGCCTTCCAGTGTAATCAACTGACACGCGCAAGACCACCACCCACAGGGCAACAAGGCAACGAGGGCAACCGAGGGAGCTATGAAGCGCCTAGAAGGGAGTTCGTCATTAGTCGCACTCAAGCCGAGACAGGATCCGGAATCGAAACCGAGGGCCAGGACGGTAGCGAAGCCATAGCCGTAGGAGACGAGGACCCTACGGATCATTTGGAAGAAGACCTCGGAGAGGGACATTGTCTAAGCTAAAAGGATAAGCTATTGTAACCCACCATCTTTGCCATAAAACCTTTAACTTGTGTAGTCATTTAAATTTCCCTATTTCGAATAAAAAATTTTTTTGAAAGCCAACAAACTTATATTGCATTAGCCATTCCAGGCTCAAGGAAAGAAGGAGGAATATCCCTCCAAAGAGGCAGTTACATGCTTAGCCATAACATGGGCAGCCTGTAAATCATCCCTACGAACATGAATAACTGATGAATTAGTCATAGAAGATAACAAATGATTGCAAGCTAGCAAAACATAACCAAAATAAGTACGAAACGAACTTGCATGCTTAAGACTAGAAACTAAAACAAGACTATCGGAGCCCACTGAAATCCTTGAGTAGCCATTATCCCTTAGCCATGATAAAGTCTCACACAAAGCCATAGCTTCCGCCAAGAGGGGGTCATATGGGCAAATAAGAGGACCATTCCCTGCCGCCACAAAGGTTCCATCTATCTCCTGCACTATAAAACCATAAGCCGGTGCATGATTTTGTACGTGAAAGCCCGCATCTACACGACAAATCACACCATCATCTAACACTGAAGCCAAACCCGGAGATGCATGCGCTACACGCGTGGTACTACGATGCTGATCAGCTGCAGTCCATGAAATCCACTTCGTTGTGAACCTCCTGACCACCACACATGGCATTGGCAAACAACCATCCCAAACCGCCTCATTCCGGGCAATCCAAATGTCGTATAACAAACCACATATCCTCCCCTGAGCCTCTGAACTATAAGTGAGCGAGTTGCCAAGCCATAGATCTGTCCATTGCCTAAAACTCCTGCCATCAAAAGAAGGGATAAGCAGTTGAGAAAAATTCCACACTTGTGAAGAAAAAGAACAAGAACATAAAACATGCATGATAGTTTCCTCCTCCATGCCACATACTGGGCAAATATTAATCAACTCAACTCTTCTATTAATTAAATTATCAAGGGTGGGCAGAATGTCAGACAAAGCTCTCCACATAAAAATTCTCCATCTTGGGGGGACCTGTAAACTCCACAAATTACCCCATACTGGCAAGCATGGGCCATTTACCTCTCCCAACCTCCTGTAACCATCTTTAACCGAGTAGCAACCCCTCAGATCCCTGCCCCAAAACCAATCATCATCACAATCCAAACTAACAGGGAGCTGCTTATTCAACAAAACATCTCGTGGGGCAAACAACTCATCCAGCAGTTCATTATTCCACCCATTGGTGGCATTATCAATCAAGTCTGAAACCAGAAGCTCCTGCCTCAGACCTGGGTGAGTCGAGGCTACATAGGGATCAATAGCATCAGGTATCCACGGATGATTTAAAACCCTGGTGGTCCTTCCATTACCAATTCTCCGCCTGCAACCGGACTTTAGTAATGTCTGACCTGCAAAAATACTTCTCCACGCATAACTCGGGTTTCCACCAATTGTGGCTTCATAAAATGAAGAAGTAGGATAATACCTGGCTTTAAATACACGAGCCACAAGGGACTCCGGATTGGTTAAGAGCTGTCATCCCTGCTTGGCTAACAGTGCAACATTAAACTCATGTAAACGTTTAAAACCCATACCTCCAAACTTCTTAGGCACACACATTCAGTCCCAGGACATCCAGTGAATACTGCCCTGTGAGCTACTGTGACCCCACCAGTACCTGTTCATCAACCTTTCTAGAGCATTACACAAAGTCATAGGGAGTAAATAAATGCTCATTGTGTAGGTAGGCATTGCATGTGCTACACTCTTTAGAAGCACCTCTTTCCCTGCTTTAGATAGCAGCCTCTTGTTCCATGAACCGAACCTCTGTCTCAACTTCTGCTCAACATATGCGAATACTGCACTCCTATTTCGGCCTACAATAGAAGGCAATCCAAGATATTTCCCAAAATCATCAGCTTGGCCCACCCCCAAGGAATTCGCAACCAGGTCCCTTACCTCCACCTGTGTATTACGACTAAACGTAATACTTGATTTCTGAAAATTAACCGCCTGCCCAGAGAAAGCCTCATAAAATCCCAGACATTTCTTTACCTCCAAAGCATCCTGCAAATTAGCCTTAAAGAATAGTAATCTATCATCAGCAAAAAACAGATGCGAGATAGATGGCGCCCCCCTAGCCACTCTACAACCATGTAAGAGCCCTTTAGCCTGAGAGTCCTGCAACAACAATGATAAGCCCTCAGCACAAATTATAAACAAATAAGGAGACAATGGATCTCCTTGTCTCAGCCCCCTCGTGGGCACTATTTCCTCTGTAGGCTTCCCATTGACCAGAACCCTGTACCGTACTGACTGCACACACAACATTACCAACAGCACCCATATTTCATCAAAACCCAAGCCAATCAACATCTGCTGCACAAAAGGCCACTCCATCCTGTCATATGCTTTCGCCATATCAAGTTTTAAGGCCGCCCACCCAACCTGCCCCAACTGTTTCCTCCTCAAATAATGGCCAACCTCAGATGCAATAAGTATATTATCTGAGATCAGCCTACTAGGTAAAAAAGCACTTTGCGAAACAGAAATCATACCATCAAGCAATGGTTTCATACGATTAGCAATCATTTTCGCCATTATCTTATACAGCACATTGCACACAGCTATTGGACTTAAATCAGCCACAGATACAGGGGAGCATTTTTTTGGGATCAATACTATATTAGCATCATTCAAATTTGCAGGAAAAGACTTCTTAGATAAACAATTAAGCAAGAAATCAGAAACATCCTTACCAATGACATCCCAGAAGGTGTGACACCCCATATTTTCTGGGCATTGTACGAGGACCGTATGTGCGTACATGACTAAATTATTTAGAGTCTCCTAATCCATATTATTATAAAAATATTATTCTTTGAGCCTAATAGCTTCCTAATCGTGATATAATATGTAAACACATATACTTTTCCTAATAATAAAGATTGTTTAAATATTTTCCTAAGCCTAATAATATTAATATATAGAACTTTTCTAATTATATACATATTTACACATATATATGTTACAGATATAAAGATATATACATATTTACGTATGTACCTAAATTATAATATATATATATATATATATATATATATATATATATATATATATATATATATATATATATATATATATATATATATATGTTACGTATGTATATATGTTAAGTACTAGTAAGCTAATATGTATATTAATATTATATTAAGCTTTTAAGTATTTTAGTTCCCTACAACTAGAGTTATTATTTATAATACAAGTTATTAGTTAAGTATTTAAGTAGTAGTCTAATTGTTCACATCCTCATCAGTAGCTGATTCATTAAATCCTCCCATTCATCATAATCTTCAGCCGACACTCCCATCCTTTTCCAATTTTGGCGTCGCTTTGCGTTTCTTCCCTCCAGTATCATCTATTCGAGATTTTACGGATAAGCGACCATAAGATTCGGTTCAAGGGTTTTATTAATTTTGGAAACCAGGTAAGATTTATGTTCACTAAAATTTCTTTTGCCCCAAATCAAAAATCACTTTTCCTATGTGTTTTGAAAACCCTGCATATGTGATATGGTAATTTTGTGGTGATTAAAAATGATAAATTTTACACAATTTGATCATTGCCTGAGAAAATTCTGACTGGCGCAGCTGGAAAGAAAAATTCGTGAAAATTGCTTCCTAAACTTCTTTTTGCTTGAAATTTTTTTATGGAGAACCTAGACTTGTTATAATTGATGTTTGTAAAAAGTTTTGGTTAAAAATATGTTTCGATTTTTCCATAAAAATTTCGTAAAGTGGAGGTAGTGTGCTGCCAGTTCAATTTCTGTCTGGCGCAGTGTTGGGAAATAATTCGGGAAAAAATACTTTTAGACCTTGGATTGATTTGAAAATTTTTGTGTATAATCTAGACTCACTGTACCTTGTATCTGGTTCATCTGAAAATGTGTTACCAATATATTTCTATAAATTTTGCAATATAGGTCATACCTTCTGAAAATTTCTGTCGGTTCCTTATTTGAGGTGTTGAGAATTTGTTTGCTTGAGAAATATCAGTAATGTTGTCACTTTTATAAAGATTGAGGATAAAGGAAATTGTTTCTTAAGACTTGTGTAGTATCCTGTTGTGAAATTCTGGATACTTGGGTTATGACCCAGTTTGTTGTGGAGTGAGCGGTTGAATATACCGACTCACTAAGGAGCTTAAAAACTCTCTGTTATTTTGAGGAGTGAGCTGTGAAAACATATCCTGTCTCACTAGGACTTTTAGTCCTGTTGTATTTTGAGGAGTGGTTAGCGGAGTCTACCACTAGGATATTTACCCTGTTGAGTAGTAGTCAGTAGAAACGTATCCTGGCTACTAGGGCTAGTTACTACCTATTGGGCTTGGAAACCCATTGGGGGTGTGCACACTTAAGGTATTAGTTCTGTTCCACTTTAATGGGATTTTTGCGTAGTGTTCAGTAGAGTGAGTACTGTTCACTAGGGCTTATTGAATAAGACCCTGCCCATCATTTGGTTGGTTTAAATGGGATTTTTGAGTAGTGTTCAGTAAAGAGAATTACTGTTCACTAGGGCTTAAGTAATTAAGACCCTGCCCATTATTTGAGATTGAATGGGATTTTGTGTAGTGTTCAGTATGGTGATTACTGTTCACTAGGGCTTGATGAAACAAGACCCTGCCCATTGCATTGAGATTGGTGTTCCTCCATGTTGAAAAAAATATATTACTTTTGAAAGGTTCCTAAAATATCCATTGTGAGAACTACTGATTTGGTATTAAAAATTATGAGTATTGTTGGGAAATTATGGTTGTTGGAAATTCTGAGTATTTCATATTTGATTTATGTTTCTATATGATTATGCTTTATTGATAAGAAAAGATTAAATGTTTAAAGGGTTTATATTATATGCTAATTTTCTGCTCTTATGTGCTATGTGCAAAAAATGTTTTACGGGGTGAAGTAGATCTTACAAGCTTTATGCTGAATTTGTGTGTTTCTTTGTTTTCTATTCTTTAATTGTTTTTGCAGGAACTCTTGCATGAGCATTGGGCATGAGAATGAGTGAACCACGTAGAGATACCATTTATAAGTTAGACAGTTGAATTGTTTGTTGTTTTTGTACTAGTATATATCTTGAGTTGTTTATTGCAAGTTGTAAATTTAGCCTTAGCACTTAGGTTGTTGGTTGCCTAAGTGTGGCGGTAACACCCATTTTCTTTTGTTTAGTTAATGCTTCCGCTATGATTTTGAAAATTCGCAATTAAGAAAGATATTAAAATTAAGGAAAATTTAGTATTGAAAATGGGGGTGTTACAGAAGGCCTGATAGAAGCCCGGGTTCATGCCATCCGGTCCCGGAGATTTATCCTTGCCCATAGAAAATAAAGCACTCCACACCTCTTCCTGCTCAAAGGGACGCAACAAATCATCATTCTGCTCTCTGGTTACACGAGACTGCAAGGTATCCACATTAAAACTCCCTGGACTCCCCCCCCCCCCCCCCCCCCCCCCCCGAGGTAAAAATTTGCTTATAATAGTCTGTAACCACTGAGTCCAAGGCACTGCCCTCCCTCCAAACACCACCATCATCCTTCAATCTCAGGATCACATTCTTCTTCTTCCGGTATGTGGCATACTTGTGAAAAAACTTCGTATTCCTGTCAGCTCCCTGAAGCCAGTGCTGCTTAGCACGTTGCCTCCAGAAAGCTTCCTCCTGAGCTAGCACCACACTCAACTGCTTATCAAGCTGCCTAAACCGACCCAGAGAAACAGGATCACGACTACCCCGTAAACCATTCATCTCCTTCTTTATACCTTCAACCTGTTTCCCATACTTATGATGGCGATCACCACCCCACCTCCTCAAACCCCGGCCACACACACCAAGCCTGGCCTGTAACGCCAAATCTGGAGAATTAGACCATTCCCTTTCCAACACCTCCCTGCAACCACCATCCAGTAGCCATTCATTCTCAAACCGGAATCCCCAGGGCCTCAACACATGATCCACCCCTCCTATATCCATAAACAGCGCAGTATGATCTGACGAGTCAGTTTGAATATTAATGACCCTCGCCCTATCATTGCCCTGCAGCCAGTCAATATTCGCCACCACTCTATCCAAGCGCTCCTCCACCCAACGAGCAGTCCCTTTCCCACGCTCCCACGTGTAAGGGTATCCAATCATAGGCAGTGTCATCAAACCACAGTCATCCAGAGCTTCAACAAACCCCTCAATCAAACAAACAGGATGTGGCAACCTCCCTCTCTTATCCGACTGCATTAATAAATCGTTGAAATCTCCCAAAACCACCCAAGGAAGGTTAGATACCCCCTTGAGAGATCGTAGAAAATCCCATGCAGCCCTCCTCCTATCCCTCTGTGCATATCCATAATAACAAGTCAACCTCCACAGCGGCTTATCAGGCAAAGAAATCTCAAGGTCAATGTGATTAGTCGAATATTTAATCAAACGTGCACCATTATTCTTGGCCCATAGAAAGCACAAACCACCTCTCTGACCATCACTATCAACCGCAAAACAACCCTCAAAACCCAGTTTCACTCGTAGTCTCTCTGCATGACTCCTATCCACCATAGTTTCCATCAAAAACACGAACTCGGGCTTCTTTTTGGACACTAAGTCCACCACCTCCTGAACTGTCCGTGGATTGCCCAAGCCACGGCAGTTCCAAAATAGGGTACTCATTGAGAACGGTGGGCCTGGTCCCCAGGTCCCACCAAACTGTCATGCTCCGTTTCCATCTGCACAGCCCTTACCTCGCTCACCACCTCACCACCCGGCCCCCTCCTCCGTTTCGGATCCACCCTCAAACCCCTCTCCTCCCCCTCAACCACAACAGCAGCCGTATTACTACTAGCAACCCCCAAACCCGAAACCCCTCCCCTTGACTGCCCCGCCAACAATCTGCCAACCACCCCCACCACAGCACCCTCTTCCCGTACCCCCCTCTGCTGCCCACTCCCCACCGCAACACCACCATAACCAATCTCCCTTCTCCTCTCCTGACCAAGCCGGAACCATTTATCACCCAGCACCTTGGCTGCCCCCATTCCCCCTGCCTTCAAACCCGGACCATAAATATACTGCTCCAGCGACAATGGGGACCTACGAGCCTCCAAACAAAATTTGTCTACATGCCCCAACTTGCCACAAAAGTAACAGAAAACATTCAAACGTTCGTACCTGAAATCAATCCACGCCCACGTACCATCACGCATGATCATCTTCATGCGACGCTTTATGGGGTTCACAACAACAAGCCGCACCCGAACCCTATAGAACTCCGTCCATGATCTCGCAAAACACCGCTCATCAATACGCAGGAACACACCAACATAATCCCCCACCTTCTCCAAAACTTTCTCCGTCCGATAACCCGTCGGAAGCCCAAAAACCTGCACCCAATAGTCGACTGTACTCAACTCTATCAATGCCAGATCAACATCCCCTTCTAGCGGTTGACAGAGAAACAGTGCATTCTCGAAAGCCCAGGGCCCCTCCTCCAAAACCTGACGTCGATCAGCCTCATCAAAGAAAGTAAATAAATAAAGCCCCGGCCGAACATCCGTTATTTCAATTCCCATTAATGGACGCCATGCTGAAGCCATAACCCTCTTCATTATCTCCACCTTCAAATTACGGTCGGTCAAGAACTGGCCAACAAGAGCCCATGTTCGACGTTCAACGCCATGCTCCACCCCACCGTCCGGCTCCTCCACAAACTGGACCCCCACCTCCTCGCCTTGTAGCGTGATGTGAGCCG